TGGCTGGCTGGGGAATTCTGGGAGTTGAAGTCCACACATCTTAAAGTTCTCAGGGTTGAAAAACACTGGTTTGGGTAGACAAATGGGCTGAATTCACACCACATGGGTAACTAGCTGATCAGAAGACCACCTACACCCTTGCAGCATGTTAAACGTGAAGGATAAGCTGCAGAAGCCGCACTTCTTGGGCAGCATTCTCCTTCCTCTGCCAGAGTCCTAGCAAATCCCGATTAGGTTTAAAGCGCTAAATTAGTAGGCCAGGGTTCCTGCTATTTTGGTCAACAAGACCAAACTAAGCCCCTGGTGCATGTTGGTTCAAAGCATTACTCACTTCCAGAGTCTGGAATCTGTGTTGATGACTAATCCATACTTTGTGATAGTTTGGATTTTTCAAGCCGTTTTCAAAGTGTTTATTTTTTAAATTACAGTGATCATTGCTTTTCCCCCTGAAAAATAAACCTTTAAGTCTTGCACCTCTTCTTTCTTTCTCCAGTGAATGTCTTGTGAAGGCACACGTGCAGGTTGGCACGCTTGTGTGACTCACTAGCAGACTACCAATGCATTTCAGAGCAGTATTACCTAAGATTTCACAACAGTGCTTTATTGGACCAGTCCCTTCCGCAGCTAAACTTTCATTAACTGCTTCTGATCTGCCCCTTTATTGGATATCCATATTGATTTCAACTGATCTGTATGGTTAAGCCACCCAAAAAAAACCTTAGAAAAAGCCCAACTCTGAATAAAATCTGTTCTAGAATCAGAGAAGATGGCTGTTCATTAAGTGTGAAGATGGCCACAGCCACAAAGCTACAGTTCATTCAATGCAGCCCCTTGCTGGAGAGTAAAACAGGACAGGGCATTGGAGTCATCATGCGCAGGACTGGGATGGAGAAGATCTTTCAAAAAATCATTGCTAAGAATTCTCAGCGTATTTCCTCCCATGTCTTCAGGTCAGCAGTGATCATTCTGTTTCCAAGATCTCAGCCTCAGATCTGGTTCAAGGAACAGGGTTTCTTTGGAGTGACACCCAAAGTAAAATGGGGAGGGGATGCAGTTAGGGGAATAACCTGCTGGAGAGCTCACAACTCTTTGGGGAAAGCAAATGCTGGATCAAAATCCAGCTGGTCCAATTCAGCCAAGTCACCAAGCCGACATGCAAAATGACGCTCCCTTCCAGTCTTCTCATCTTCACCTGGGAGTTCCAAGCTTCAGTCACTGGGTCTGAAAACAGAATTGCTAACACTGTAATGATTATGGGCCATCAAGTCAGAGTTGATTCTCAATGATTCCACAGATAGATTTTCTCCAGGAGGATCTGTCCCCAACCTGGTCCTTCAGGTCTTCCAACAGGGCACCCATCACCACTGAAACGAAGTCCGTCCACCTTGCTGCCGATTGTCCTTCTTCTCCTCTTTCCCAGCATCACAGCCTTCTCCAGAAAGTTAGGCCTTCGTATAATGTGTCCCAAGTAGGATAATTTGAGCCTGGTCATTTGGGCCTCAAGGAAGAACTCTGGGTTGACGTGTTTGATGATCCTTTGGTTTCTTGGCTGCCCACGGT